AACAGTTGAGAGGACTATGAGCAGTAGCAGCTTAGGAGGAAAAATGCTTTTAAAACACTTTGATCTAAATAACCAAACTGGATCTCTGTGGTTTTACTGGGATGTCCCACCAACAACTAAGCCAAGCAGCAGTTCAAATGAGCTCTGTCAAGTGGGTCTCAAACTGGCTGGCAACTGACAACCACAAAGAAAACCTCTCAGGCTTTAACTAACTAGAGCTGGGTGGAGAGTTAAATTATAGAAATAGAAGGTCATTCCTGAGTTTGGCTTTATTTAACATCTTTATCTTTTGAGGAAAAACCATCACTTTTCATTCACTGGGAATGCCACACATTACCGTATTCTCAAGCCATAAGGGAAAAGAAAAACTTGCACGATTCTCCTGCAGGTCTCCTGTATCAGACAGGCCAATATTACTCTGCTTAAGGTACAAAGGAGATCTGGTCTCAACCAGACTGTGTCCAGTCATCCAAAAGGTGAATCCGCAAAGAAACAGAAAACTATAATACCATAAGGGTGCAAGGTCTTGACTGTAAGACTGAACAGCTGTTGAGCCTGGGGCCATGATGCTAGACCAGAGTTGAATTCCCAGCTTTTGCACCATGTCATCTTGGGCAAGTTAACCTCACAGAGCCTCCGATTCCCCAAACATGGAATAGACCCAATGACATCACCCAATGAATCTTATGAGGACTAAATTAACTGAGATGATGTAAAATACTTCATGCTCTGTTTTGCAGACAGTGCATGCACATGAAACAGTAGTGATTCCTATCATTTCTACAGGCAAGGCCAAGGGATTCTGACAGAGACTTAAAAAGAGGGCATGGAGGTGAGGTCACAATCTTAGTTTTCAGGGATCAAAACAAAGGTAAAGTAAAGAATGATGGCTCAAGTTTTAAAAATGAGGCTTTTGTTATTCTGATGTATTTTAATTATGATCANTCTGCATATCTGAGGTTATTGATATTTCTCCCAGCAATCTTGGTTCCAGCTTGTGCTTCATCCAGCCCAGCATTTCTCATGATGTACTCTGCATATAAGTTAAATAAGCAGGGTGACAATATACAGCCTTGACATACTCCTTTTCCTATTTGGAACCAGTCTGTTGTTCCATGCCAGGAGATCCAAGACAGAAGTCTCTGACTACTTGGAGCCTCTAGATGTACATTAGAGACACAAATAAAATTCTACACAATTTTGTTAGGTAAGAAGTTAAGAGATGAGGGATGAAGGGTGACCTAGCCAAAAAGGATGCAAGCTGATCTCTAAACCCTACCCCAGAAATGCCAGGGAGAGCTCACAGATATGCTACAAAAAGAACCTCAGAGATTTTTCCAACTCCTGCAAGTGTGCCCTAGGCACACAGTGGATACAGACTAACCACAGGGGCTTCTCCAACTCAGCACATGCACACATGCAGAGCTGTGTCCTCAAGTAACCCTAGGCAGCTAGCAGTCTATTAAGGATTCATAAATATTCCATACATACATACATTTGATAACAGACTGAATTATGGGAAAGACATAAGTAATAGAGCCTGTTGTGCAACTTGCAACTGTCAATCAAAACTCTCAATCCATACCCATCTAGATGAATACGTAAAATTCCTATTTTGCATGTGCCCAGACATGTCCCATCCCCTGATTGTCCTTGAGTGTACCTGTTTGCATTCTGCACGGGGCATGAACCAAGAGGAGGGGACAGGGAGTATAAAAAGGGAGGTCAAGAGGGATCACTGCCACTCCTTCAGGGCTGGCCATCTTCGGCCTATTTAACAAAACAGCTTGAGCTGTAGCCCATCTGTTGTTTCAAACCCTTGCCACGATGAGACAAGAGCTGAGAAATCCTGCCTGCTTGAGCTGTAACAAGACTAGAACTGAGGGAGAGAAATACACCAACCTAAAAACTTCAATATGATATAACCTTCCAGAGAGAGAATACTGGAGGGGAACCAAGACCAGGATTGGATGTCAGAAACAGCTTGCTGGATAAGTGAAATTAAAGCAGAAAACTGGAATGTGTCAAGGTGCTGGTGAGTCAGAGACCAGGCTGGGTGAAGTTGGGAGACAATGATATTTTAGTAAGAGGGAAAAGTACATTCAAAGGGTCAGTGAAGGAAAACAGAATAGGACTAGAGAAAAGAATGAATGAATAGCGGGTGGGGTAAAGAAAGGCAGAGCAGGATCTAAAGGAGGTTTGATTGGGGTGTACTCTTAGCCATGTTGTTTGTTTCAGAAGAGGACAGTGGAGAGCCAGCCAAGTATCTGGGGGCATTTTGGAATTAAGGATTCATGGCAAATAGTGGCTGACTTTATTTTGGGGGGCTCCAAAATCACTGCAGATGGTGATTGCAGCCATGAAATTAAAAGACGCTTACTCCTTGGAAGGAAAGTTATGACCAACCTAGACAGCATATTAAAAAGCAGAGACATTACTTTGCCAACAAAGGTCCGTCTAGTCAAGGCTATGGTTTTTCCAGTGGTCATGTATGGATGTGAGAGTTGGACTATAAAGAAAGCTGAGCGCCGAAGAATTGATGCTTTTGAACTGTGGTGTTGGAGAAGACTCTTGAGAGTCCCTTGGACTGCAAGGAGATCCAACCAGTCCATCCTAAAGGAGATCAGTCCTGGGTGTTCATTGGAAGGACTGATGTTGAAGCTGAAACTCCATTATTTTGGCCACCTGATGTGAAGAGCTGACTCAATCAAAAAGACCCTGATGCTGGGAAAGATTGAGGGCAGGAGGAGAAGAGGACCACAGAGGATGAGATGGTTGGATGGCATCACCAACTCAATGAACAGGGATTTGGGTGGACTCTGGAAGTTGGTGATGGACAGGGAAACCTGGTGTGCTGCGGTTCACGGGGTCACAGAGTTGGACACAACTGAGCGACTGAACTGAATTGGAATTAAGGAAGAATTACTCAGGTTAGAGCCTCAGTGTGGTAAACAGAGCCGGAGGTTGGCAAGTTGTAGGCAGGAAGTGCAGTTCCCAAAGGGGATCCCACTAGGGGGCTGAGAATGGGGATGAGGAGGAAGACAGACTCAAGACAGGGAATCCAGGGAACTAACAAACTGATGAGAGAAGATGAGGGAGAGTTCCACATTATTCTTATGGTTATCTAGGGACAGTACAGAGGGTGTTTTTACAAAACCTTCAGTACTATGAAAGGGCTGGGGTAGCCACTCCTATTTCATAGGTAAGTGAATTTAGAGACGATGGGAATAAGAGAGCATAAAAGTTTTAACCTCTTGTCCCTAGGTTTACATGTTCAAAATGTCCTAGAGGTATTATATGTTGTAACTTCTTTTTTTGCAGAATAAAAAAATGAATAAAGAAACATTAATTCTGACTTGAAATGCAGACACAGGGTGCCATTTTTCTCGTCCATATATCATCATATAAATGAAATATGTTTACAAGATGCAGGTGAATTAGAAACATAATAGAAGTGAAAAGAAGAGTCCTAAGCTAGAAGATAAATTTTCCAATTTGTTAATTTCTCACTCTTTGTCTGACTAAAATGTTCTTTTATTATCAAACAAAATTAATTTCTTCAGCTGAATTCTTTCTGTAAAAATCTTTGTGTTTTTCTTTTATCACCCAGCCTGGCCATCTGAAATTAGATGAGGTGCAAGGTCCAGAAAGTTAATTAGCACTAGGCTAACATTTACTGTAACGAATCATTTAGCATTTTTTGGCCATGTACATTTTCCATTAAATTTTCACAAGAAATAAAAAAGACCATTAATATGTTGTGCACAGCAAAGTGCTGGTCATCTAGATCTTAAATTGCTTAGCACTCTGGCTGACCCTTGATAAGATTAATTTATAATTTTAAAAATTAGTCATTTACTATAACATCTGCAAAAACTTTCCAGAAAAGCATCACTTTTGACTAGTTGGACTTCTCTCCATTTCTAGCCAGGATCACAGGCTCTTAGTTCACAAGGACCCCAGAATGCTCCATATCTGTATCTCTGTGGCCACCCTAGTTTATAAACTTAAAATCTACCAGTGCAGAAAAACTGCTGGAATATTTCCTCTCTATGAGAATCTGTTAACTGTGATTTGAAATGTGGAGTTAAAATGTCATGCCTTTTTGACTAGCTTTCGGAGGGCAGTTCTACAATTGCTTCCAATTACTTAAACCATTTCTACAATAATCGGCCTCAATTTTTAAAAGTTAGGACCACTTGGCTTTTGCTTAGAAAAGGTTTGTTAAGAGTGTTGCTTCGAACTCAGATTAATTTGTCTTTCTGGTCAAGTTGCTATACAAACTGGAAGCAAAAGGGTACAGACTTCAAGACTTCTCAAATAGCTACTCTTAAAGATGTATGGTAAAAGAACAAACCACATGAAATTTCCAATCATGATTAGAAAGTATTCCCAAGTCATAAAAAAGAACAGAATAATGCCATTTGCAGCAATGTGGATGGATGTAGAGATTGTCATAATGAGTTACTGTAAGTCAGAGAAAGACAAATATATGATACCACGTATATGTGGAATCTAAAAAAAATGGTACAAATGAACTTATTTACAAAACACATACAGTCATAGATGTAGAAGAAAAGCTTATGGTTATCAGTGGGGAAAGGGAAGGTGAGGGATAAATTGGGAGATTGAAACTGCCATATACACACTACATAAAATTCATAACTAGCACAGGGAACTCTACTCAATACTCTGTACAGACATATATGGGAAAAGAATCTGAAAAAAAGAAGATATATGTATAATTGATTCACTTTGCTGTTTCCCAATTCACTTTGCTGTACATCTGAAACTGACACACCCTTCTAAATCAATTATATTCTAATTTAAAAAAATTCTCATGTTGACCAGCCAGATAACGAATGCAAAAATGGATTCCCACTTGCCTACCCCCCAAAACCAACAACAGAGTTATGGAACAGGGTATTAAATGATATTACTATTACTTGTGGGCACTGCATGGCGAAATCTTTACCTTCATTCCGTAACTTTCCACTTACCAACTTAAATGTCAATGTTTTTAAAGCTTTGGGATCATCTACAATCTTCTGTAAATTAGCAGCCACTGTAAAATACAAACACAGAGAAAAAGTGTCCAAATTATTTCCACACACTGGATTTTCACATCAGTGCTTTAGAAAATTTGACTAATGATGCAATAACCTGCAAAATAATTTCTTGCACAGACATTACAAAGTCCATATAAATGACCAAATTACTCTCATAAAGACATTTTCTACCACAACCTATATCTTCAGTGCATCAATGAATCAGTATACACTGGTCCCACATTTTCTACAATAAAAGAGAAATGGCTTACTAGTGGAAAGTAGAAAATGATCGTAGCCCCCAGTGTTTTCACTACCTGGTTCTTCTCAACACTCACTAATAAGAGATGCATTAGCCAGGACAGGGCAGTTCAAAACAGAGGAAACTGGTTTCTTTGGAAATAATAGGTCAGCATTTTGAACTCCTGTCCCCATAAATTCACTCAGTTCTCTGCACCCAGTTTTTTCAAAGCAATAAAATACAGTGGATAACCTCCACAACTCAGGCATGAGTTTTGGTGCTTCCAGAGCATGGTGATCTGTCAAAGCAGTGAATACCACCCTGAGCAACACCTGAGCTGGCTGAACAGGGTCAAGCACTAGAGGTTGTCCATTTGGAGCTTAGTAGTACAGATCCATTCTTAGTAATAGCCAGATTCATCGGAGATCTGTCCTGCTCTCTGGTGCCATGATGCTGTCATAGAGGAGTCAGCCTTCCCTGCATAGCCTCCTGTTTATGAACAGGATTCTCATGAGGTGATGCTGATAGAAATTTAACACCTTGCTCCTTCTACCTCCAAACCCAAAGTAGAAAGCACCAAGTGTCAAGTACGTGCTGTTGGTCAAAGAAAGAGAAGTTGGTATTGAAGAAATTAAGAGAGAAAGTCCTGTTCATCATCTTTATTTTCCAAGAGGAAATCCCCTGCTGCCTCAATAATCAGCCATCTAAAAAGTTATCTGAATATTTGAAGAAAAATTTTAAGAGAAAAATAGTAAACATACAAACATTTTGAGAAAAAAATGTTTCAAGTATAAAGTTTCTAGGTAGAAAATAATCTGTGCAAATGTTATTTTTCTCTAAGGTAGGCTGAAAACAACCTAGATACATGGATTTTTGACAGAATAATTTCATTTAATCCATCTGTTGCAGAGGGGAAAAACATGAAAATTAGATATCCACTACGGCCTGTTTCTCTTCATAAACCATAATTACAAATACCGTTTTATCTTCATCTTGACCTCTTAATACTCCCAATCTGAGTAACTGACAAAGTTTCATTTGGGCTAACACTAACACCCCTTGCCCACATTCATCTTTTTCTCTCCCCTGTTACTGCCTACACAAGCAAATGTACACACACATCACATAGAGATCCTGAGCCACCAACCTCCATCTTCTTTGGGCTTCCTCCACAGTTTCCCAAACTTAGATAACAAAAATCATCTGCTAATCAACAAGAAATACTGGCTCATGGAGTGCAAAGCTCTGCTGTACCATTCTGCCCACTAAAGCCAGTATTGATGATGTCAGGGCGTTCTGACTATATGCAGATTGCAGCAACTGAACAGAGTCACCCTCTTCTTAAAGCATAAAACTGTTCTAATAGCTCTTTGGATCTGAGCTGATTTCATGAGTGGCCATAAAGTCTTCACATGAATTTCAGTCCTTTCATTAGAGTCTCTCCATTAATGTGGATGATTTACTGCCTTGTTCTGGGTCATCTATTTCCAGTCTGCTCTCTAACGTTCCGCCAAAAGCAGAGCTGCATCCTACACTAATTCACAACCCGCTGTCTGGTGCACACACATCTGCGCTAGGGCCAGTTTCCAAGGAGCATGGCTAGAAGCAGGCTGGAGCCTGGAGGGTAACACTGAGCTTCTGGCATCTTCAACAATCATCCCAGAAACCACATCCCCAGTTGTGAACCCTGCAACGCGAAGGACATTAGAAATTCAAATTCTGTCTTCTGCTCAAAGCGAAAATAGCAAAACTGGCCACTTACCTGATTACTTAGCCCAGCTGCTAGGCTTATTTTCAATTTAGTTGATTCTAATTTGTTGTAAAGTGCTACAAAATAACTTCATTTAACTGACATCACATAAAATTCAGGGTGATGCTAATTTCTCTTCTAGTAGCAATGCTCATTAAAAAGATGGGTGTCACTGTTTTCTCCCTTCTCCTGACTGCACCTGGGGTTCTAAAATAAAAAAAAAAAAAACGCTCCTTACCTGGAACGTGAGCTGAGAAGGAAGGGCTGGTTGTTACTTTAGACTTCCTCAAGTATGTGCTAATAACTTCATGTTTTAAGATAATCTAGTTTCCAAATATATATATATATATATAGATATGCAGCTTCTGAACTCAGTGCCCGCCAACTCATTTCGGATCCCTCTCGGCTTTCCCAAGTAAGACTCACTCACCTAGTTTCTGAGGCACATTGTGTTACACCTTGAACTTTTCCCTTCCCACCTCCCCAGCCCACTGTCTTTGGTCTTGGCGCTTTCTCTTGTACACGACACCTGTGTGTGAACAGTCTATTTTTTTTTCTTCTATTCTTGTTTCCCTGCATCACACTTCAGGCTTGAATCTCTATCAGGGCTAGAAGTTTCTGTCTGCTGTCTTGGATAACATCTGGCTTAAGTATTGTTCTTTATAAAGTGGTAATAATAACATTAACCACATGGGAGAAGGATGCTAATATTCAATACTCCTGTGAATCTAAACAGAGAAGGAAATAAGACTGTCCCAGGGGATGATCTACTAGAGTCCAGGCAGTGGAGTTGATCTCTCTCTGGCAAACTAATTCAGGCATTCCCCAGACACTGGCTTCTCTATAATTTCCTGTACTACTCAAATTCTGCACACTTTGACAGCAAAGTCACAGTTAGATAACGACTATTTATGGTTTGTGTTTGTATTCTGAGTGATCATTCAAAACATGTACTTTTCTCCCCACATGCTAGCATGTTTCACCTTAATCTCATATAGTAGTGATGTTCTAATGGAGGTGACTTAATTGGAGCTATTCTCAAACAAAAGCTCTGAGGAAAAAGCATACCAAATGAACCCAAGGCTGATGTACTCCCCTAGCAAGAAATTCTGAGATAAGACAGAAGCACAGACTTGGGTTACCTGACAAGATGATAACGTCATAATATGCTTTACTCAAAGACACACCCTGTAGGTTGCATGGGTACAGAAAAGAGGCATGAGATTACAAAGATAGACACATGGGTGCCAAAAGAGAATTCAAGCTCTAAGTAAGGAGAAGAGGAGAGGCTAGGGGGCTGGGTTTCTTAGATACTGCTGTAACAGGAATGCAAGGTTACAGCTAATTAACAACTCAGTTCGGGACAAAAGAAGAGATCTGCCCTATAATTTTCTCTAAATGTCTGGGCTCTTATCTTCAGGAGATGCAGTGTAGCACAATGTGCAACAGCCTGAATTCTCCAGCCAGGGTGCCTGCGTTCAAATCCTCCCTCCTTAGAGCTGCATGGCCCCCTGAACTTGGGCAAGTTTCCTTAGCCTCTTTGTGCTAGAAGTTATGCATCTGTAAGAGGCAGATGCTATTGGTGCCTACCTAATAGGGTTGTTCTGAGGATTAAGTTAATAACAAAGTGCTTAGAATGGTGCAAGATGTGTAGCAAGTGTATAATAAACATTAGCTTATTGCCTCTACCCGGGACACCTGCAAATCTTAACTGGTTTCCTTGACTTCAGTCTAAACTTCTCAAGAGCCCTGTTTCTCACATCAGAGTTACCTGGAGAATTTAAATCCTAAATCGGAACATGTTGCCTCCTTAGGTAATACTTTGGGATTAAAGCATTCCCATCATTAAATCATTAAATCCCATCAACTTTGGGATAAAGCTCAAGTTTTTAATGTGGTCCGTCAGACCCTCCATGGTCCAGCCTCACCTACCTCCCTAGTTGTTTTTGTTTTGCCATTTCCTACCCTGAAATTTTTCCAGGAAAAGCTCTGTAACCCTCACTGTCCTCTACATCTCTACCGCTATGTACTGAAATTGTGTTTTTTTAATCTGATTTCCCCACTATCTACTGATAACTCAGACAGAATCTTAGCCTTCTCTGCAAAAGGTTTAACTTTGACATACATGCATTCATTCCTGTTGTTCAGTCAGTGAGTCGTGTCCAACTCTTTGCGACCCTATGAACTGCAGCATGCCAGCCTTCCCTGTCCTTCACTATCTCCCAGAGTTTGCTCAAACTCACGTCCATTGAGTCAGCAATGCCATCCAACCATCTCATCCTCTATTGCCCTCTTCTCCTCTTGCCTTCAATCTTTCCCAGAATCAGGGTCTTTTCCAGTGAATCGGCTCTTCACATCACATGGTCAAAGCACTGGAACTTCAGCTTCAGCATCAGTCCTTCCAACGAATATTCAGGGCTGATTTCCTTTAGGACTGACTGGTTTGATTTCCTTGCTGTCCAAGGGACTCAAGAGTCTTCTCCAGCACCAAAATTAGAAAGTTTCAATTCTTCAGCGCTCAGCCTTCTTTATGGTCCAACTCTCACATCCATACATGACTACTGGAAAAGCCATATATGTCATATATATGTGTGTCTCATATGTTTCATATATATACGAGACATATATCCACCTACACAGAAACTGATGATTTCTCACGACCTCAACTGCTACAACACAAGTATAACCTCCACCATCTTCTCTAGATTTGTACAATAACCTGTTGTCTCCCCGCTCCCATCCCACTCGCTCGGGCCTGACCTCCACCCAGCAATCAGATAAGCCTTCTAACATATAATTAGACCATGTGACTTTTCTATTCAAAGTCCCCTGCCAGCTTTGCAGCTCAGAGTAAAAAAGCAGTCTCTACCACGAGCGTCCAACCTCACCCCTCGTCATTCCATTTCCAGCTGCGCCTGCTCCAACCACAGCAGCCTCAGGTCTGCTCTCCAGGTGTTCAGAGCCAGCTTCCACTCGAGACCCTCCGTGCGCCTTTCCCTGCTTCGCCATGCCTCTCCCTTCCAAGT